GCACTGACTGGGCAAATGGGCACAGTATCCACTGTGAGCCTGACACAGAAGCTGGCAGCAGTGGCAGACTACTGACTGCTATTCAATCTATAACAGTGAAAAAAGTTTTTTGTTTTTAAATGCAAGCTATTGTGACACCAGATATGAGTGGTGGCACTGACTGGGCAAATGGGCACCGTATCCACTGTGAGCCTAACACAGAAGCTGGCAGCAGTGGCAGACAACTAACTGCTATTCAATCTATAACAGTGAAAAAAGTTTTTTGCTTTTAAATGCAAGCTATTGTGACACCAGATATGAGTGGTGGCACTGACTGGGCAAATGGGCACAGTATCCACTGTGAGCCTGACACAGAAGCTGGCAGCAGTGGCAGACAACTAACTGCTTTACATTACAGAAAAAAAAAAAAAGCATACCCTAACCCTAACCTAGCTATGCATTTCCCTATCTAATCAGCAGCAGCTACACTTTCCCTCTTCTCTGGATGCTGTCCAGTAGGTGGGAGGGTCTGCTAGGGAGGGTGTGCTGCTAATTGGCTGGAATGTGTCTGCTGACTGTGAGGTACAGGGTCAAAGTTTACTCAATGATGACGAATAGGGGGCGGATCGAACGCCGCATGCGTTCGCCGTCCGCGGCGGACGCGAACACGCTATGTTCGCCAGGAACTGTTCGGTGCATCACTAGTTTCAGGTATTGTACCGGAGGATTGGAGGAAGGCAGACATCGCTCCTATATTTAAAAAGGGTTTAAAATCCTTGCCTGGAAATTATAGACCTGTGAGCTTAACTTGTCACTGGGAAAATATTTGAAGCACTATTAAGGGATAATATTCAGGACTTCATTGGGAAGAACTTTATTAGCAATAATCAGCATGGTTTTATGAAACATAGGTCATGTCAAACTAACCTAATTTCATTCTATGAAGAAGTAAGTAGAAGTATAGATCAGGCGTGTTACAGTGGATGTGATCTACTTGGATTTTGCCAAGGCATTTGATACGGTTCCTCACAATAGGTTAGTCTTCAAACTAAAAGAAATTTGTCGAGATGAATATTCTTGTTCTTGGGTAGAACATTGGCTTTTTAAGGATAGAGTACAACGTGTTGTTATTAATGGTACATTTTCAGGCTTGACAAAAGTGGTAAGTGGTGTCCCTCAGGGTTCTGTTTTGGGACTGCTTGTATTTAACATATTTATAAATGATCTTGCAATAGGCATTGGAAGCCATGTTTCAGTGTTTGCAGATGACACAAAACTTTGTAAAGTAATTAAATGTGAGCAGGATATTGCTTTGCTGGAGCAGGATTTAGAAAGATTGGGGGACTGGGCACTAAAATGGCAGATGAAATTTATTGTAGAGAAATGCAAAGTTATGCACTTCGGGGTCAAGAATGCACAAGCAACTTACACACTAAATGGTAGTGAATTAGGGATAACCACACACGAGAAGGATTTGGGAATTGTTATAGACAATAAATTAGGCAGCAATATGCAATGTCAATCTGCAGTTGCTAAGGCCAGTAAGGTTTTGTCATGTATAAACAGGGGCATACATTCTCGGGATGAAAATATAATTTTGCCTCTTTATAAATCGCTGGTAAGACCACACCTTGAATATGCTGTGCAATTTTTGGCAGCTGTTCTAAAGGAGGATATCATGGTACAAGAAAGAGTGCAGAGACGAGCCACAAAATTGATAAAAGGAATGGAGCATTTTAGTAATGAACAAAAGTTCAATAATTTAAATCTCTTTAGTTTGTAAAAACGGCACCTCAGAGTGCATATGATAACATTATACAAATATATACGGAGTCAGTACAAACCATTATCTGGAAATCTATTCATAAACAGGGAACACAAGGTCACGCATTTAGGCTGGAAGAAAGGAGATTTCATCTAAAGCAAAGAAAAGGATTTTTTTTTAATTCTTTATTTTTGTAGTGTGCTGTCAAATAACAGTTGCATGTGAGGTACCCCAAAGGCAGTCCTCTAGCACAATACGAACAGTTGAACATAGGGGTACAAGGTAGATTAAGCACATTTTTTACATATAACGATAGAAACGGTATGGCTTTACTTTGTTTAGGCATTTGCGTAACATAACAGAGTGATATCGCTTAACTTTCTAGGCATGTGATTATTTTGCAGTGGCAAGAGCTAGTGAAGCTATGAGTAGGTTACCACATGCATTAGAGTAAGGGTGAGTGATTCAGAAGATTAGTTATTGCAAGTGGCAGCAGCAGGAGATATGTTTACAAGATATGCTGTGACATGGATGACATAAGTTAGTAACATGTTGAGTTGGACATCATCATGACAGGCTGATATGTCTACCTATGCGTGGGTGTTGAGCTTATGAGTAATTAGAACCCTCTTAGCCATTAAGGCTATAGATTAGTGGTCTCACGGAATAAGTGTGCTGGACCAACTCTGGTGACAGGGTATCGAGTTTATACACAGGGAGGCTCGGTATGTAATTGCTTTGTTCCGAGTGGCATTCCTCCGTGGTCCCTGGCGTTGACAGATATATGTGCCATGCTGGATTGCTGTTTGCCAGTGCCAATGGGACATTGGGCTTAGTGTTTAGTCGGCGGCAGTGGCGCTGGCTTTACATGAAGATCTCAGGGCATGCAGTCTGGTCGCAGAGATCTTATCGGTGTTATGGTGTATCCAGCCTCCTTGTTCGATGCAGGGGGTCTCTGCGTTGGTACGGGCCGGTGAGGTGGACCCGCCGTGTGAGAACCTGCGTGAGGTGTTGTGTCGCAGGCTGTGTTGTCGCCTCCGAGGTATGCCAGGGCGAGGGTCTGCCTCTGAGTGTTGTCGGTAGAGGGGTTGCGGTGTGGTCTGCCTGGGGCCGGTCCGGTCCCTGTTTAACGCAGTGTGTCGCTGCAGCAGGGCCGCCTTTTCATGCCTCTTAGGTAGGTTTAGTTTTGCCGGGCCCTTGTATGGGCGGGTCGCCGTCATAGGTAGTGGTAGTCGCTTGGGCTTACAAGCTTTTCGGTGTTGCCGTCCAAGTGCTTTGTTGGCGTGAGGCGGTGTGCACGTTTGTTGGGGGATCACCGGCAGGATTGTGACAGGATGGTATGCCTTGGCCTGTTGCTCCCTGGAGGCTATTGTCCTCCAGAACCTGGCGAACAGCTCGTCCAGCCTGGTCTCAAGGTCAGGTTTCTTTGTGTCTCGAGCACACGTGGCGGCGGCGGCGGCCATTTCGGTCTCCATTTTGTCAATAGGGGTTTGATGGTTGGGGATACGATTTAGGCTGCTGCCATCTTCTGCGGTCCATATAAGCTATTAGTATAAGTACTCTATTGCGTGGATCGGGATAAGCCCCACTGGTCCCGAGGGGAGGGGGGGAGCCCAATGCTTCGGGTGCTGCAGGATTTGGTGAGCCGGGAGAGCGGCCGCCTCTCCCCTGCTCTGCATGTTGTAGGCCCCAAGCCTCCGGTTCGGTTTCTCAGCGGGCTTTTGAACTTGCGAGGTTTCCCCCGGTACCCCTGCCTCCATATAGCAAGGTGGGGTAAGTTGGGGTTCTGAAATAGGCTATATTCCCACTGTTTTCTGCCAAAATTCAGGCCTGGGAGCTCACAGAAAGCGTGTCTTTTCAGCTCCCCGGTCAGGCCCCGCCCCCCAGAAAAGGATTTTTTTACAGTAAGAACAATAAGGATATGGAATTCTCTGCCTGAAGAGGTGGTTTTATCAGAATCTATACAGATGTTTAAACCGCAGTTGGATAAATACTTGAAAAACATAACCTACAAGGATATAATTTCTTATTAGTTGGGTAATAGTGTCAGGATTACTGTTTGATCCAGCACGTAGAACTGTACAGCACAGATGACAAATAAGTAACGTATTACCGGTCCTTAGAATGGCCGGATTTAACGTACAAAGAATAGTCAAAAATACTAGCCGAGGTCAGGGAACACAGAAAGGGACACAGCGATGAGGAAAGCCAGGAGTCAGGATACCAGAATATAGATAAGTCAATAAACAAAGCCAAAGTCAAAAACCAGGTAGAAAACTATAAACAGGAACGCGCTCTCGGACAACCACAAGGGAAACCACGACAGGGCACTGAGCAGGCTGAGAACTGGGCCTAAATACCCCTCCTTTCTTTCTGATAGGCTGTAACCGGCCTTTGACCCCAAAGTCAGTTACCAGGTTTCATTTGCATAATTGCTGCTCGGCATTAACCCTTCTGTGGATTAGGTTGCTGCTCGGCACAACGTTTCCTGTGTGGACAGTAAATGTCATTAACCACTTTTCTATAAGCGGATGAATACGTGACAAATAGCTACTTGATCCAAGGAGATATCTGACTGCTATTTTGGAGTCAAGAAGGAATTTTTCCTAGTTTGTTACAAAATTGGGTTGGTGTACCATTGGGTCCGAGTTCAGATTGTATAATCCTGAGTAGTATTTTGAAAACTCTTTGCTAATCTCAATTGGCCATCTTTGATGCTTATGTATGTGATCTTTTGGTTGGCCTGTCTCTGCTTTAGCCTGTTAGCAAGCAGTTTCCCTGCTATGTTACCTTGGGAGTAGTGTGTGGCTTTCAATTTCCTGAGGTAATATCTTGTCTTGGCTAGAGCTTGTTGTTGGATCTGCTTTTTAATGTGTTTGATTTGCGTCTGGATGGCCGACCTGGGGGTAAGTTGGTGTTGGCAATTGAGACTATATAATTGTTTCTGCCATAGAAGCAAATGCTGCTCGTCTAATGAGTTTACCTCAAATTATGGCTTTGTGAGCTAACCATATAGTACTGGTAGGCAAGTTCGCTGTTGTGTTCGAGTCAAAGTATGTAGATATGGTCGTGGTTAAGTAGTTTGTGAATTTCGGGTCATGCAGAAGGGATTCCTTGAGTTTCCACAGGCTACGGTTCTTAAAATCATATTTGTCTTTAAGCGTGATCACGCTCCGACCATAGCACTTGCCCTTCATCAAAAACCAATCTATTCTAGAATATATGTTATGAACATGGGAGTAGTAAGTGTACTCTCTATCCTCTATGTGGGTTGTTCGTCATGTGTCATATAGGTGGTGGATGGAGAGTAGTTATGGAAGGGCCTTGCAGTGTCGTCGCAGTGGCTGATGTCTCAAACTGGTGTGGGAAATGGTGGTGTCTAAGAGAGGGTCTAAGATTTGGTTTAAATCTCCACATATCAACAGAATGCCCTGCTGGCTGGTAGATACCTTTTGCAATATTTTGTGAATTAAATTCCTCTGCTCAGCATTGGGCGCATAGATATTCACTACTGTATAAATAATAATGTTAAAAGAACCAATTATGATGACATATCTCCCTGCCTTGTCAGTTTCCTGAGATATGAGCTCAAACGCCAAACGTGGCGGCTAATTAGGATCGACACCCCCCTAGATTTGGTAGGTGATGTCGCGTGGAGTTGGTGTGTTTATAGGGACATCAGCACTTGTGGGTGTGAATTGGGTGTGAATTGGTCTTGAAGTTGGTCTCTTGAAGAAAGACCACATCTGCTGCATATGTTCGTACCTCCCGCACCAGATGGTGCCTCTGCACAGGGATATTTAATCCCCTCACGTTACGGCTGTAATTTTTCATGTAGGTTCGTAAGGGTTGGGCGGCTTGTTCGTTAGTAAGTATTCACCTTTTAAGGATAAGGTTGCTGTCCCCATTAGCATCAAGCCAGGCGACCTCTCCGCATGGGGCAATTTCAAACATCCTGGGTGTGGGCAGGGTGGGCGTGAGTCTAACCAGTCATGCGTCAATGTTGCTGGGTGAAAAAATGTGGAAGGAAGGGAAGGCACCTTGATGCCAGAATCCCAACTTGGGGTGTGTCAAACTTTCTAGGGGGTAACCCTTGTATATATACAGTACTAGAAAAATGGGTAAGTGATCCTGGGCTAGAATAGCAACAGGAGCGCTTAGAGGAAAGTTCTGCAAAAAATATGCTAATATAAAATAATATCTATAAAATAGCTTTATTGGAGAGGGTCTACTCAAAAGTATGATCCCTAATAAAAGAAGAAATAGCAAATGAAACTTAATACACCATAACCACTAAAACGTAATAATGTACATAAGGAGTGATGGACTCCATCTCTAAATCTAGAAAGAGAGCTGAAAAGAAAATATCTATAACCACGATACTTATATCGAGCAGCAAAGATCCCTAAACACCAATCCGGATATAAGAGTGTTATAACTCTTATCCTTGTGGTCAAAAGGAGAAAGAGAGAGAGAGAAAAAGGGAGACTAGAATACAGAATATGTCTGTATCTGTCTGATTGCCAGCTAGAATATCAAATACTGAAACAATATCAATAGAATGTTAACTCAAATGTAAAAACAGAAACAATGTATCTTCTCTGTCTTAAAACAAATAGCTTAAACACTGCTGTTGCATGCAAAAAGCCCGGTATGCTATAGGAGATCTAAAATACTGACTGCTATCGCTACTAGTATAGGGCAGTCCCAGCTGTTCCTGTAAAAGAAAAATGATTCTACTCTCACACTTAGCTGCTAATATAACGAATGGTATGAGTCCATAGCCCCCACCCTGTGATCACATCTACGTGATGAGAAGTTAAAACAAAAAAGAAAAGGACCTAACGCACGTTTCGGCGCTCACAAAGCGCCTTTGTCAAAGGTAAATTCGATATGGCTCCTAACTCCATTTAAATATCCCACCTCATCCTCCTACAGCCAATCGGATCAAGGGGCGTGTTCGTCAATTCGCGCCAAACAATGCCGACGGCAAAGGCATGTCAGTCAACTTCTGTCACGCCCTATGGGTGTAAACGGGGGTGGGAGTCTCCAGCCATATCATGCTTAGTATTGAGCATGTTGGCATGGAGACAGAACCTCCCGCATTATGCCGGGCGTGTGTGCCCATCATATACAGTGAAGGGGAGCACATCTACCCGCACGGAAGAGGAAGCCCCCCACTAATAAAACCATGAAACATTGCCCCTAACACATACGTGTAAAAACGTTAAAATAGACGATGTGGGGACTCCAGAGGGTTAGGTATAATGTACCTATAAATGAGAGACTAGCAATTTTAAGGGTTTGAAATGCTCTTTCAGACATATTTCTATACATGTCCAGTAGAGCTATCCTGCAAGTCTAATTTATAGGGAGAAACGCAAAGGGAAAAATCCCTTTACGTTGTGGGGGAGGGAGTAGAAAAATCCAGGGGTGAAGAATGCTAGAGTTAACCCCTCACTGGGTAAAACGATAGGGGTGAATTAATCCCAGGTGGAATAAGTATAGAAAGTGGCATTGTATCGAGAAAACAAATAAAGATCTCAAAAAAAGCTTATTAAAGTAACAGAATGTAATTAATAGCAACACAACACATATCTATATACATAAACTCAGTTCATCATGTTTCAATGAATGGGGTAAAGGTAAAACCCTCATTCAATCCTTTGGGGGCTAGTGTATCTAGCCTGTATATCCAATAGCATTCCCTTCTTTTAAGGGTCTGATCAAGATCACCCCCTCTCTTGCCTAGTACTACCTTTTCAACTCCTGCAAACTTCATGCAGTTAGGGGTATCAGGATGCTGTGTTCTGATATGTCTGGCAACCGGTGTATCTCTGTTTGAAGTTACAGAGTGGACATGTTCCATAATGCGTTTCTTAAATGGGCGTATAGTTTTGCCTACATATTTTAGACCGCATTTGCATGTCAATAAGTAGACGATTCCTAGAGTATTGCAGTTAAAAAACTGTCTTATATTGATAGTGTCAGAGTCAGTAGAATTAGTGAGGGTTTTGGAACCTTTAGCTATGTACGTACATGCGACACAACGCCCACATTGGTATGTGCCGTATATGTTCATCCAGGTGGTATTTGATTTTTTGGGGGCCAGAAAAGTGGCTGGGTACGAGTATTTCTTTCATGTTCCTGCCTCTCCTGGCGGTAATGGATACCTTCGGTGGGATTATGTCTTTAAGATGGAGATCTTGTGTTAGTAATGGCCAGAAGCGGCCAATCACGTGTCTCATTTTAGTCCAACCCGCATCGTAGTTGGCTATACACCTGATGAGTTTTTTTGACTCCAAGACAGGTTTATTTGCAACAGTTCCCCCCGGTTACAGTTTAAAGCTCTCTGGTAGGCCTGTTTTAGGCATCTTATCGGATATCCTCTCTGTTTAAATCTCTGTCTCAATTCAGTAGCTTTATGTTTAAAGTCCTCAGTAGATGAACAATTCCTTCTTAATCTAAGGTATTGACCCACCGGGATTCCTCTCTTTAGAGGAGTGGGATGATAGCTTTCCCATCTCAGCAAATTGTTTGTGGACGTAGATTTACGATATAAAGTGGTCTCAATCTCACCGTCATTAGTTATCCTAAGTGTACAGTCGAGAAAGTTAAGTTCCTGATCACCATATTCCATGGTGAATCTAAGATTGAGATCATTCGTATTGAGTGTTTCCACGAAGGTTTTAAAGTGAGTTTTAGTGCCCGTCCAGATGATTAGGACGTCATCTATGTATCGCTTCCATAGAAATATGAAGTCCGTAAATTTTGAATATTGCTCTGAAAACACAATCTCTCTTTCCCACCATCCCAGGTGCAGGTTGGCATAGGATGGGGCACAAGATGTCCCCATCGCTGTTCCCTGCACCTGGTGATAGTACTTGTTCTGAAAAAGAAAAAAATTGTGTGTCAAAATGAACCTCAATAAATTTAACACAAACATCGTGTGTGTATTATGTTCGGCACCCCTTTTCTTAAGGAAGTATTTGATGTGTTCAAGCACACTTGAGTGTGGTATGGAGGAGTATAAGGCTTCTACGTCCAAACTACAGAGTTCTGCTCCCATAGGTACCTTAAGTAATGTTACACATTTTAGAGTGTCTTTGCTGGGTGGTCTGCAGGTGCAACACATGTGGGATGAAAGCGGCCACTTAGGAAGCCCAAGTTGCGAGCTCCTGTGGTCACTAGAACACAATGGAGAATATACAGAGTAAATAACAAATAGTAACATAAAACCTGAAACAAAACATCAGGAGCCATCCGTTGGCTGTGTATGTACCTAACCAATGTACTGTGGGGGGGGGAAGCAAGTAGCTTCTGTCATGTGTGAGCTACCGCTACCTTATCAGCCCTCTTGGCCTGTGTTAGATATAAATTGTTGGTGCCCTTAAGCTATGTGTCATATAGGGTTTTTGCATCCGGGTTGTGTACATTTAGAATCCAAAAAGTTACATAATGGTTTTTTTTGGTTTTTTTCATTGTGTGTTTCATTGTGTACTTGGAGAGGTGCTCTGAGTGAAATTCATATGTTTGGTTGTGCTGGTCCCTAAAGCTGCATACCACAAACGGTGGCATGCCCTGGTGGGAAGAGGGAGTGCATGTGTGGCACTAAAGGATGTTCTTTCCCCCAAGTACGAAGTCTGCTTCCAAATAATCCCAAGCGCTAGACAGGAACCTTAAAGAAATACCCCCCCAAGGCACAAGACGAGGCTCTGTGTTGAGGGTCAATGGGTGCCACAGACTGGCTTTTATGTAAGTCCACATGCAAGGTGTTTCCTGAGAACATTTTCCAGGGGCATTACCCACCGGACCTGAAGGGACACCGCGGTAGGAACAGGGACAATAATTACATTACCCTTCAGGTCCAGGACTTACAACTTAAAATACCTCAAAAATACATTGTAATGTTGGTGTACCCCCTAGAGTCCTATATCCCCGGGTAGCTGAGATCTGAGTGCCCAACACGTGTAAGGTGTGGACAAGTTAGCTACCGCCTCAACCTTACAGGCTCCGGTCTCTGATTCCCACACCCCACTCGGTGACCCAAATATTGCATCTCAGCCATACCTAGATGGCACTTATCTGGCTTTAATGTCAGGCCTATGGCCTGAATCTTATCCAGAACTACCCTTACGTGAACCAGGTCTTCTTTCCAAGACTCACTGTAGATCACAATGTCATCCAGGTATGCGCAATGTGGGGATATTTATGGGATAATAATAGTAAACAGTTGAGAATTGCCCACTATTTCAATTCTCTAGATCCCAAATATCGTTATCATGTAAGTGAAATGTATTCCATACAAATAAAATCACAATTTGTTATAAAAATAGATATAATTTATTGTGACAAATTAAATAATAATAATAATATGTAACATGCGTGATAATAATCAATGAATATTTAGTACAACATAGTATGCAATACAATGGTTAAAACACGTTCCAATGGTTAACAGCCTCAATTGTCGAGACCAGATTTATGACGGTACTTCAGAGACAAAGAAAAACTTTCTTTCACACAGCGCAGCGAAAGGCCATAAAACCTTAGCTAACAGTTAGATCAACTGAGTAACCATTTCATTGCTGGCTAGATCCTCCTAGGCATATAATACCTATTCTCATGTAATTTTAATTAAAATAACATTTAAACCAGCTCATTAGTCATTTCCTGGAACCATCCAATAAGAGTAATCTACCAGATTCTATAGGCCAAATTTTTATTTGCCTAAAAGGATATCTTATCTTATTTTAGAGCAAATCAATACACCTAGATAAATACCGTGGTATGCTAACATGTGATAATATCATTAATATATAATTACTCTTAATTCCACCTGCAGAATGGAATGTTTATAACTATATATTCTTTAGTTAACTAAGATTTCTAAATATTGAAATCTGACCGTGATTTATCCAGTCATATATCATGCTATTAGAAAAATTGTAATTAATTTAGATTAATTAAATAAAATCAGCATATTTACCAGTTAAGTAGATATTTTCATCAGATGGGTAGGTAGTCTCAGGAACTTGAATGGATGTATGATTGGTTGCATGGAAGTGTGTAAGTGTTGTTTGAGTGTTAGCCTCAGAGTAAATGTCTGTCATAGGCCTCTCTGCATGTCCGAATCTGGAAGCCCAACTCCAACTCTTTTCAACTCCCTTCTCGCTCTGACTCTGCCTCCCACTTAGCCTGCGATCCTGACTTTTTAAAGGGCCAGACTTTCTGTACGTCATTAGGTGATAAGACCAATAGGAAACTGAAGGTGTAGCCACCTTGCAGATTGTAGTTTAGGTATTTGGTCCATAGAGGGTAGTATCGCCTCTCTAAATTTTCCTATCCAGGAAAGAGTTAACTTTTCCTGATGGCTATTTTGACGTCATTTGGCTTATCTATATGGCTACCACAATTTAAGTTTACTTGTCAGTTCAAAGCGTTTCTTTGGGGTTTCTCCAGACAGTGTGTCGACAAATTCTGTTGTAATTTCCAGAATCGACAGTTGTAAACTCAGTCTCACCTTTAGCTTACAATGGGACCTTGTACAATTTAGAAAGTAAAATTAAATTATTTAATCTTCTCTGTCACAAATGTCTGGGTTTAGAATTATTTCTATTCCATTAACATCTAGACAGAGCATCCATCCCCCTGTCTCATTTCTTATCACTTGGTTTGTTTATACAATTAGCTCCGGCTAAGTGGTTAATGTTACAGAAAGGATAGAAATTGTGTGTCTTTGTTAGCTTGAAGATAGCAAAATGGAGTCTGCTCTGTTCTGAGTGACTCTGACAATATACACTTTTAATTTCTATCATAGCACAAAATGTCTGCCGATATAAATATCCTGACAGCAAGCAAAATCCTGGAAGCCATCATGGAGTCTATCCACCATACGTTGGAAGGTAGTCAGGGCATTTTTCATCCCGAATAGCATGACCCTGAACTGGTACAGGCCAAATGAGGTGACAAATGCCGACTTGGGGATAGCTTCCTTGGCCAGGGGAATCTACCAATAGCCTTTACACAGGTCTATGGTAGTTAAATAGCGTCCCCTGGCTATGCGATCTAGCAGTATGTCTACCCTGGGCATCAGTGGTTCTGTCCTTCTTGGGCACTAGGACTACAGGTGAGGCCCATGGGCTGTCTGAGGACTCAGTGACTCCTAACTGAGTCATGTCCTGTATCTCCTTCTGCATTCCTTCCCTTACTGCTTCAAGGATATGGTAAGGTGGTTGTCTGAGTGGCACTTGCCTGGGGTTATCTACCATATATGCTGCCAGGGTAGTGTATCCTGGCTCCTGAGAAAATATAGTTTGCTTATCCCTGAGGAGCTGTCTGGCTTGCTCAGTTTCTGTGAGAAAATCCCTGATAAAATTGTGACCCATTCGTCAGTGGGTACTCTGTAAAAGGCCCGTAACCCCTTAGTGACCAGGCCATTTTTCAATTTTATTGCCGTTAAGGACCAGGGCTCTTTTTACATTTCTGCAGTGGTTGTGTTTAGATGTAATTTGCCTCTTACACATTTACTGTACCCATACATATTATATACCATTTTTCTCGCTATTAAATGTTCATTCTAAAGATATTATTATTTTCATCATATCATATAATTTACTAGAATAGAAAAAGTAAAATATGATGAAAAATAAAACACAGCTGGCCATCATGCACCCATGTCCCAGTTGGAACATTTCTAAAGCCGGCCAATGTAATTCACCTCTGTCAAACCGTATGTTTTTTAGGGCATTTCACATGGTGGCATTTCAACACTTTACATGCACTAATTCTACCACCAGACTCTGTCAAACATTTTTCTGGTGTTATTTTTCACTCACACATTCTACTTTGGGCATAGATTCTAAGCTCCTGTTAGGCGTTACTGCCAAAGGACACCCCAATATGTACTCGGCAACATCTCCCGAGTACAGCGATACCACCCATGCATACGTTTGTCGGGTTCACTGGGGAGTGCAAAGCAAAATGTCTGATATGCGTTTTTCAAATTTTACAGATCTTGTTTGCCGATCTTCCTTTTGGGGGCCTTATCAGATATCCCAATGTATTTTTTTGCCATGAGCATGCATATATTTGAAAAGTTGACACCCCACAGTTGCAAGAAAAAGTATGTGAACCCTTTGGAATTATATGGATTTCTGCACAAATTGGTCAAAAAATGTGGTCTGATCATCATCTTAGTCACAACAATAGACTATCACAGTCTGCTTAAACTAATAACACACAAAGAATGAAATGTTGCCATGTTTTTATTGAAAACACCATGTAAACATTCACAGTGCAGGTGGAAAAAGTATGTGAACCCCTAGACTAATGACATCTCCAAGAGCTAATTGGAGTGAGATGTCAGCCAACTGGAGTCCAATCAATGAGATGAGATTGGAGGTGTTGGTTACAGCTGCCCTGCCCTATAAAAAACACACACCAGTTCTGGGTTTGCTTTTCACAAGAAGCATTGCCTGATGTGAATGATGCCTCGCACAAAAGAGCTCTCAGAAGACCTACGATTAAGAATTGTTGACTTGCATAAAGCTGGAAAGGGTTATAAAAGTATCTCCAAAAGCCTTGCTGTTCATCAGTCCACGGTAAGACAGATTGTCTATAAATGGAGAAAGTTCAGCACTGCTGCTACTCTCCCTAGGAGTGGCCGTCCTGTAAAGATGACTGCAAGAGCACAGCGCAGACTGCTCAATGAGGTGAAGAAGAATCCTGGAGTGTCAGCTAAAGACTTACAAAAGTCACTGGCAAATGCTAACATCCCTGTTAGCGAATCTACTATACGTAAAACTCTAAACAAGAATGGACTTCATGGGAGGATACCACAGAGGAAGCCACTGCTGTCCAAACAAAACATTGCTGCATGTTTACAGTTTGCACAAGAGCACCTGGATGTTCCACAGCAGTACTGGCAAAATATTCTGTGGACAGATGAAACCAAAGTTGAGTTGTCGAAAAAGAGGCACAGCACACCAACATCAAAACCTCATCCCAACTGTGAAGTATGGAGGTGGGGGCATCATGGTTTGGGGCTGCTTTGCTGCGTCAGGGCCTGGACAGATTGCTATCATCGAAGGAAAAATGAATTCCCAAGTTTATCAAGACATTTTGCAGGAGAACTTAAGGCCATCTGTCTACCAGCTGAAGCTCAACAGAAGATGGGTGTTGCAACAGGACAATGACCCAAAGCATAGAAGTAAATCAACAACAGAATGGCTTAAACAGAAGAAAATACGCCTTCTGAAGTGGCCCAGTCAGAGTCCTGACCTCAACCCGATTGAGATGCTGTGGCATGACCTCAAGAAAGCGATTCACACCAGACATCCCAAGAATATTGCTGAACTGAAACAGTTCTGTAAAGAGGAATGGTCAAGAATTACTCCTGACCATTGTGCACGTCTGATCTGCAACTACAGGAAACGTTTGGTTGAAGTTATTGCTGCCAAAGGAGGTTTAACCAGTTATTAAATCCAAGGGTTCACATACTTTTTCCACCTGCACTGTGAATGTTTACATGGTGTGTTCAATAAAAACATGGCAACATTTCATTCTTTGTGTGTTATTAGTTTAAGCAGACTGTGATTGTCTATTGTGACTTAGATGATGATCAGATCACATTTTATGACCAATTTGTGCAGAAATCCATATCATTCCAAAGGGTTCACATACTTTTTCTTGCAACTGTAATTTTCAAAATGTTGCATTTTAAAATTGTAATATAAATGTAAGAATAATTCCATAAATACTATTTAAGCTGTTTTCCCTCTAGATTCAGTATCAGTGTTATTTGGCTTCCCCTGCCGTGTTAGAGCTGTTTGAAGCAAACAGCAAGTGATACACAGTGAAACAAACACAGCTTCTCTCAGAAAGGAGGATTGCAATATTTTATTTTTTAAACAAAAGGGGTAAAAATAAAGTTACTTTAGCAGTAAAATGTTGTTTTGAAATTTTTACACAAGCTTTAGAAGAACAGCACGGAGTCTGCTTTTACCTTTCACTGAAAATCAGACCCTTCAAGCTTCGTACAGCCGGATGACCATACGGCTTCTCCATGTTCACATCTTCAATAATTGCAAAGCAGTGACCATTTGTCCTGTAGGAAAAATATATATAGATTTACACCCAACCTCAAATAATGGGCAAAAGCTTCATTCCAGCCTCCCACTCCCAGGTACTAGATAACTGAAGAAGCCACTTATGGTGAAACGCGTTTATGGTTATTAATTCTGTATTTTACTGTGTATTTTAGATCAATAAAAGTTTTTTGGCTACTTTATTGTACCAATCCTCTTTTTATTGCACTCTTTATGCACTTTAAACAACTTTTGTTTTTACCTATTCCTGGCATTTTAACCTTTCCTGGTTACTTTTACTTCCACTGGCAATTTTAAAGTTCCAGTACTCCAAGAAATCCTAGGTGGGGATCATACCACCAGCGCCTATCCATAGAGCAGTACCTCTGCTCTATCTTTGTGAGTATTATTTTATTTTCTCTACTACTCTCTTAACCTATCACAATTGAGAGCACTATTGCTGCTTTTTATTCTTCTATATTGGAGCCTTGGATCACCAGACGGTGCTGACGGACGTATCGCCGCTACATATCCTATAAGCGGGGATTATACCGCTGTACGCTATCCACACCAGAGCTGGCCATAGCTCCCTCAAATGTGAGTTTTTTACCTCTTCTTATCTGCACATTGAACCACATCAAAATTGAGAGCACTATTGTTGCTTTCTGTCTTTCTTTTTCGAGCTCTGGACTACCAGACGGTGCTGACGGAGACCCCTCCCTACATATCCCATAAGCGGGGATTATACCGCTGTACGCAATCCACACCAGAGCTGGCCATAGCTCTCCTGAATGTGAGTTCTTTACTTTTTGTTACCTATCACACCCTGAACTTTCATACTATACCATTAGTCGCCTCTACCTCTCTTGTATTTACATATACGGAACGGTCTACACCAGACGCATCCACAGAGGAACTCTATCAAGTATCCTAGACCATCTATTGGCACCCTAGCAATACTTTACTGGACTATCTACCCTTATTTGGCGCAGCCCTTCCATATCTTTTTGTATCTATCCACCGAAGGACCCGAGGGGTTTTCCTTCATTTGGGTTGCTGCCTACCTTGACTAATTTTGTGATTACTAGCGCTGAATTCTTTTTGTGTTTATGTATACAGTATATACCCGATTTTGGACTGGCTGCTTATGTTACCACTGACTATCTCGGATCTGTGAGAAGAAGATTATTAAATTAAATTTCAGTCATGTTATCCGAAAATGGCAAATACAGTGTATAGGTATCAAAAGGATCAGACTGTAATGACCAGAAACACTTTCACTGGAAACACAAAATTAGGGACATTACAGAACACTTTAAGATAAATGATGCTATTAAACGAACGGTCCTAAAACCCACAGACAGAATAAAAATAAGTTAATTGATAACAAAATCTAAAAAAAATACACATATATATATGTTTTAAGGCCGTTTGGCCTGTATTTGTGGGAGGGGCTTAAATTAATTCACTCCCCTATATAAGGGACACCCCTTACCTGACTCATATCGCTTGAGGTCAGCATCAGAATGATTTCCACTTCCGGGTCATCCAGACGCCATTTTACCTGATTACTCCATGAGGTTTTCTAAGCTGAGCTGTGTCAGGAATTCAGCCACTGGCTTTTCCGGTGTTCTATCAAAAAGACATACCCCGTGAAAAAGACATACCCTCGTCACTTCCGGTGACGTGGCCGCACCGGAAGTGACGTTGGGAGAGGGGTGTGCGCCGCCGCGCAGGCGCACAACCTCCTGGTAGGGTATTGTAACAGCGAGTAGGGGAAATTAACGGCGCAATGCGCACGCGCGTCTAGTACTCCCGTCGGAGGTACAGCGTGCGTGCGCAGTACTGGGGTATGGAAATCTGATGGCCATGTCTCCTGTTAAATCTCCCTACCCCTATACTGCGCACGCGCGGACACAATCGACCGCGCATGCGCAATGTGGGGTAGGGAAATTTCACAGGACAGACACACATAGCCATCAAATCTCCCTACCCCTATACTGCGCATGCGCGGACACAATCGACCGCGCGTGCGCAATGTGGGGTAGGGAAATTTAACAGGACAAATGTATACACTGCCCATGCGCTGGATTGGGTAGGAGGAGCTGAGTTTCAAAAATCACTTGACCGTTAGCCTTTGCTGGAGCTTGTCTTATTTGCATTGGTGTTGGTTAATTCTTTTTTGTGCTTACTATAAGATTGCTATTCTATATATTCTGCTACATTTAACACCCTTTCACCATCCTGTGGGTGCTGTTGTAGAAGGATTACCAGGACACCATTAAGGTAAGAAAATACTTTTTTATATACCCCCCTCCCCCCACTTATCCTCTGCCACTCTGAACTATATACCCCTCCCCACTTATCCTCTGCCACTCTGAACTATATACCCCTCCACTTATCCTCTGCCACTCTGAACTATATACCCCCCCCCCCACTTATCCTCTGGTAGTCTGAACTATATACCCCCTCTGCCAACCTCTGCTAGTCTGAACTTTATACCCCCAGACTCCATGAAGGTAAGTAATACCCCTATCGTGATGACTATTTAAAAAAAAATAATAATAATTTTGTGTCCTTATTGTCCACTCACAGGCTTGATTTACTCTCTTGCCTAGCAGTGTCCTCTCTCATCAGACTCCCTGACGGTGAGTAGTACCCATATGGTGTTGTGACTGTAATAAGAGTTCATAATTGTGTCCTTATATTGTCTCCTTACAGGCTTCACATTTCATTCAGTCCCTCACCTCGCCTATTGTGTCGTCTTAGACTTTTTAACGGTGAGTAATTCCAAGTTCGTGGTGATACAATTATATTGCATAATTTGGTCCTTACTGTTCCCTTACAGGCACGACATTTGATCCACTCACTTGTCGAGCAGTGTCCAGTCTTATAAGACTACCAGACGGTGAGTAATACCCATACTCTTGTTAACTTATGTAAGACTTTAACATTTTATACTCATAGGCTGTGCAGTAGATTTACTCTGTTACACTGTAGTGTCCATTGTTAGTGGAATTTACACTATGTTGTGGTCCAAATGTTGGACCAATTTTCCTTTCACTGTGAAAAGGCTAGTTTCAAATTATGGTTACATATGTTAAGTGGTTGTTATGTATGGCATTTAGGGTAGTTTTTAGTGTGTGAGATACATTTGTAAAATTATGATGTGTGTTCTATTTTTATAGAAATGGAGACCAAGTACAACAACATCGTCAAATTCCTTGGTTTTGGTGAATACCCACCCGGGTATTCGAAGATACAGAGGCAGACTTTCAGGAAGACCACTGCCAAATTTACTTTAAAGGGTGAGTATCAAAAATACAATCAATCTTAGTTGTTTGTAATTAAACGAACCCTTGATTGTTTTCATTTTCATTACAGAAGGAGAGCTCTTCGTTGGAAGAAGAAGACTTGTTAAAAACGAAGAAGAAGCAAGGAGGATCTTCGTAGAGTTTCATGCATCGCCCATTGGAGGACATACAGGCATCAACAGGACGCGATCGGCCATCTCCTCGAGATTCTTCTGGCATGGAATGGCCACTGATATTGATAAATGGGTACACATTAATTATGTTTGTGTTTTGCTATATTAATGAAAGCTTGTACACAGGTTAACAACTCATTTCCTACAGATCCAGGAATGTGATAATTGCCAGAAGTCTGGAAAGCCGTTGACTGCTCCACAGACGTTACAATGTATTAAGGTAAATATCTACTATAGTATTGCATAACAAATGTTATTACGTTGGTTTACTTAAAAAATTTAATATTTTTTTTTTTTAAATCACATTAGGTATCTGCTGTCTGGGAGCTTGTTGGGATTGACCTAACAGGTCCCTTCACAGAGACAGTGGATGGCTTTAAGTACATATTGACGGCTACGGATTACTTTTCAAAGTGGGTGGAGGCTTTTCCTCTTAAATCAAAATGTGCTGCTGAGGTGGGACGCCATATTTGCTCCATGGTCTATCGACATGGTTGTCCCAAGCGTATACTTTCAGACCAGGGTAAAGAATTCGTCAATCAAGTATGTGTACTTACAATTTAACATTGTTGTTAATAATATTTATTTTGTAATATGTGTTGGCTTATAAAAAAATTATGTTATTACTATTTTATTTTTTTTCTTTCAAGCTCAACGACCACATGTACAGTCTTCTTGGAATCGAAAGAAGCGTGACAGCGGCATATCACCCACAGACCAACGGCCTTGATGAAAAGACAAATCATAACATCAAAAGGCAAGTTTAATTCAAGTTTTGATTTTAGTAGAACTTTGATTCACAGGTTTACTTAAAGGGAATCTCCAGTGCCAGGAAAACAAATCAATTTTCCTTACACTGCAGACTCCTTAGGTCCCTCCCTCCCACCCCCCATCCCAGGTTGCTGAAGGGGTTAAAACCCCTTCAGTGATTTACCTTTATCCTACGACGATGTCCTTCGGCGCTGATTTTGGCTATGCCCACTCTCCTCCCCTGCTGACATCAGCCAACGTCCGCGCGCGCATTACAACTCCTCATAGGAAAGCATTATCCATTGCTTTCCTTTGGGGATTCCGGCGAGGCTGGGGGTCCTCATGCATTGTGTGCGGACGTCCAGCGACTCTTTAAACATGAAAAATGTTTTAAGAAGCCGGAAGCTCCTCCAGTAGCTGTCTCATAGACAGCCACTAGAGGAGGACTTAACCCTGCTAGGTAATTAGTGCAGTTTATGAAAAACTGCACTACTTACTCTTGCAGTGTTAAGAGTAGTGGGAGTTGGCATCCAGACCAATCCAATGTGCAGAAGTGGTCTGGCTGCCTGGAGTGTCACTTTAAAGACACACTATATTGTCAGCAATATTAACATGTCTTAAATTTCATTCCCCTTCTGATTACTTTTAAATGCTTTTTTTACTCACCTTTTCCAAACGGTTTGTTTCTCCTAACAGGTAGAGCTGTCCAGGCAGAGGTGGCTCTCTAATTAAGAGATTTTAGTGTCGCCTTAGGGCAGACTACCATATCGGATCCTAGGTCAGAAACCGAGGAACAGACACAGGAGGGGGCCCGGCGGCTTGCCTATAATGCTGCTTTGGTGCAAGGCCCCACAAGTCCGTCTGCCTAGGAGAGAGCCAGCCTCCTGTCTGCAGCATTGCCGGGAGTGAGCTACAGATGGAAGTGTCTCTCGATCTCCTGTCTGTCAGAATGTTAACGCTGGTTACCAGCTAACTCTCTGACTGGAGTAAAACATTTACCACGTGGTATGCAGCTCACTCCCGGCGGAGCTGCAGACCAGAGAGCCTGACTACTGGGGAGAAGGGGTGCACACAGTACCACCAGTGAAGGTATTTATGAACCCACTCACCCTGTTCCTTATATGAAATTATTGAGAGGCTATTGCACATGAGCTGCAAAAAGCTGCACTACGCAAATCGTCATCTCCTCGTGTTGTTTTTTCAGCACACTTGTTTGTATTGTTGTATGCTAATAAATAAAAATTACACTTTAATTACAAGAGCGTTGTAAATGTGGTTTATTTATTTATTATTTTTTTTTGTATTTTATTCATTGTAGAGCTCTCACTAAATTGGTGAATGAAAATCAAGATAACTGGGATGTATATTTGGATGTATTCATTGTTTTCCATAAGGTCGAAGGTCCAAACCACTACCAAATATTCACCTTTTCTTTTTTTTTTTTTTTTTTTTTTGTGCATAAGAAAACATAACAGGCCTGTAGTGCCATGACAGCTAGTACAGGCATTTCAATAGCAAACAATGTCATAGCAGAGTAATACAGCACATTTTTATATTTATGAGAAAACAGGCTAGAAATACTTGAGTATGACTTAGATAGTGTAGTCAGTCTACGTATGCATGTTTGTATATTTGTGGTAGCATAACACAATGTTTAATCATGACCTGCCCGGGGGGGGTCTCGACATTTACTCGTATGCATGGATACTCGTAGACACCCCTATCTACTAAATATGACTACCATTTTATGATGTTATAGAAACAAGATGGCCTCAAGCTATGCCGTCATGTCTAACTACGAGAGTAATGCAAGGAGGGCCTAGTACATTATATTAGATTTGTTATGCTTGTTAATTGTTGGGAGCCGAGACTTCTAGCTAGACATTTTAATATATACTAGTGTAACTGTAAGTAAACATGCTATCGAGTTAGTGCACCCCTGAGTGCATTATTAGTAGTACGCCGTGCTGCAGTGTCATTAGACAGTTTGAGGAGAGAGAGCAGGAATGATAAGCTAGTTATAAAAAGAACATAATACACAAGTTTTTGTGCATGGTATTTAAGGACAAAAATTGCGTCTCAGGTCGTTGCATTTAAAGACAGAAATAGCGTCTCAGGTCGTTAAGGAGAAAGTCCAGCCCGGTGTCAGTCCCATAAGCTAGCTTAGCCGATTCCGTCAGGTGGTGGGGTAGCTGGTTCACTGGAGTTGGTGGCCCTGTGAGGCGCGTTGTCTCCTCGGCCCCAGGATTGCAGGATCGCCGGCATCTGTGAACCGCAGACTTGGATTCGCCGAGGGACCATGATTTTCCCCATCTCAGGGGTGGCGGAGGTAGTGAGGATTTGTCTCAGCCGGTGCGCGGATCTCCGCCTGCGTGGACGATGTTTGGAGGACTTGCCTCGTGTGGCTCTCCGCCTGGGTGAGCGGTAGTGAGGTCTCGGGAGCGTTGTTTTATATGTGGTGCCCTGAGGAGGCTTTACCATGCTGGAGTGCTTCATTCTCCGGTTTCCCTTCGGCGGCACTGAGTTGTGAGCCGTGGCTTGCAGACGGGCTTGTACCCTAAGCCAAAAGGCCTGGAAGATTTGATCCAGCCGCCTCGATGTGTAGGTATAGGCGTCGCTGAGTGTCCCCTCCATTGCAGCTGTGCCACGTGTTGTCGTGCGGGCTGCGTCCGCCATTGTGGGAATATGGATGTCTGTGTGCTCTGCTGCAGGGGTAACGTTTTTGCAGCTAACTGCTCTCCGGGTGGGACCGGGATATCCCCCGCCGGTCCAGAGGGGGGGGGGTGTGGAGTCGTGCTTATCTTAGCTTTATTCAGCGGAAGGAGAGCGGCCGTCTCTCCCTCGGTCTGAGTCCAGTAGGCCTCAACCTGCCGTTGCGGTTCCTGTCGCCTTATGGTGTTGATTAAGGTATCCACCTGTAGGGTTAGGTGCCCCCAGCTTGGGAATCCCCTTGAGTAGAGGTCACCAGGTTGTCAACCCAGGATATCACCGGGTATTCGGCATTAACAGCAGGAGCTTGTGTGATGCACGTCTTGCCTGCTTGCAGTCCAGGCTCCGCCCCCCTTCACCTTTTCTTTTGATGTATGGGAGGGAGGCCGTTTTCCCAGCCGAAGTTCCTGTTGAACTGCCAGTGAGTTGTAGCTGTTTTTTTTCTGTCTCCGCTAAGTGAAATATGTGCGTAAAGTATGTGTAATAATTGTTTATTATATACAGATCTCGCCTCATTCTGCTTGCTTAAAGGGACACTCTAGTCACCCAGACCACTTCTGCTCATTGGAGTGGTCTGGGTGCCAACTCCCACTACTCTTAACCCTGCAAGTGTAATTATTGCATTTTTTTCTAAACTGCAATAATTACCTTGCAGGGTTAACTCCACTTCTAGTGGCTGTCTATTAGACTGTCTATTAGACAGCCACTAGAGGTCACTTCCTGGTTTCTAGCACTGCTAGAGCGTCGCTGGACATCCTCACACTGTGTGAGGACCTCCAGCATCGCTCAAAACCCCATAGGAAAGCATTGAAATGATTTTTCAATGCTTTCCTATGGGGGGACGTAATGCGCATGTGCATTAGGTCCCCTCGTCTGGTGGGCGAGATCAGTCTCGCCCACCGGCCGACGCAATGGATAGGAGGGAGGGAAATCGCCGCTGCCTCAGGTAAGTGACTGAAGGGGTTTTTACACCTTCAGTAACCGGGGATTGGGGGGTGGGAGGGAGAGGGACCCTCCAGTGCCAGAAAAACTGATTGTTTTCATGGCACTGGAGATTCCCTTTAATTCAACATAAGTTGCACATAAGATTCTTTATTCAACAGAAGTTGCATATAGGATTCTTTTAACATTGGACAGTTATTTGTTACTTAACTATTAACTGATCAAGTTTGCTGCCATAACCATATTTAAAGATAGTGTGCACAGGTGACTAATCCAAATGTATTTCGTAATTCATAACCATTTTAACCTTGAAAATTATCAGTTCTGTTTTCCACTAATAGCAGTATGACTGTACAACTAAAGGTATTTTTTTTAATTTAGCTTTTCAAAATTAACATTCTTTAAGTTACTATGTATTTGACATTTTGGTATGTGTAAACATATAAATATATTTTTAAAATTTCCACAGCTTGCGAACATCATCTTTCCGGAGGAGAAGAATTATGTAACATTTCTAAATGAGAAGAAGGCATCAATGGAGAAAATAAACGAAACGACAAAGGAAAACATAGGAAAATCGCAGGAGAAGCAGAAGACGACGTATGCGAAGAAGGTGTTGAAGAAAAAGAAGGATGTGTTGTACAGTGTTGGCGACGAGGTCCTTCTTTATAATATGAGGAAGCGTGGTAGGAAAGGAGGAAGGATAGAGCCGGACTTCTCTGGTCCTTATATTATCAAGGAGTTGTGTGGCAAGGTGGTGAAATTGGAGAATTTGTGCGGAGTTACTCTAAAGAAAAAGATCAGCATCGACCACATCAAGCCATACAGGAGGAGTAAGGAAAACAAAGCCCACAGGCACAAAGGTGATGTTGAATTGCCTAATGAAATCGGCACCTGCGTGTCCTCCATACCATCAAGGACCTCTGTCATCTATTTTGCTGCACCGGAAAAGGAGGTACCACCAAATTTACTACCCGACTATAATTTATTATTTTTTTATTGTGCATATAGCGAGCCTTGTTCTTTTTCTTCATTTATGTAGTATTTTTATTTTAAATTAATGTTAAATGTAAGTGATTAACATGATTTTCTTTTCACAAGTCATCTGCATCTTTGATTGTCATGCAAAGCATAGAAGACAGAGGTAGCAGTTACTGGGTTCTTTTTTTTTTTTAGTTTGACATTGTTGGTCATTTGTTTGGCCATGCCCTGTTCACTCTGTTGCAATTCTGGCACTTTTTTAATTTATTTTTTGGTACAGTTGCCACTGTTTGGCATCGTGTTATATCCAGTTCTCGTTATTAACCATACATGTTTGATATTATACCAAAGAACCTATACAGGTTGAGTTATCCCCTTGTCAGAAATGCCTCAACATTTATTTTTCAATACTTAATTTTAAGATAAGGCATACTCAACCTGTATTAGCTTTGGATCCAGAATGTACAGTTACATACCTGGAGTTAAATTTTCTTCCTGTATTTTTTTTTTTAGTTAAAAGCCTGTGGGAAGCTGAAGATGACGGATCTGTGGAAGCAGTTGTGGGACCATACAAGCTGTATGTTTCTTCGTTCCGTACACTGCATGGTAATAATTGGCTGGTTGATGAGGTAAGAAAATAAAGTGTTATTCATTAGTGTAATGCTAAAATATAAAAAAAAATATTTAATAATTGATGATTTTTTTTTTTATGCAGGTGATTGATGCATTCATTCATCATCTTATTGTGAAGCATCAGGCAAGTGTGAATTATGTTTATTTCTGGGTTATGTTAGTTGAGTTATTATTTTGCATTATAATTTTCCCTCTATTGAAACAGGAACCTGTTCGACAGTTTGATGCGGTACTGTCATCTGTATTATTTTATGGTGCAATAGAAAATCTTGGAAAGGTTAGTGACTTGTTAGAATTCCATTTTTATAATATTGAATATATCTATTTATAATTAATTACTTATTTGGCTTTCTAACTTATTCTTCAGATGAAGTTTCCAGTCGAAGATCTGTGGTTATGCCCTATAAACGTTGGAGCTCACTGGATTTTATTGGTATTTATTATTAAAATAATTTAATTTCCCTTTCTTTACTTATGTTGCCATGCACTATTAAATTCTATGCATATTCTATGTAAATATATTTAACTACAATCCTATGACACCACAATGCTCATTTACTCTATATAGTGTTGGCAAAAAGTAGGTATACAGTAGAATGATATATAATAGTGCAATACTGTATTTAATGGTTAACAATTATTGAGTACAGTAATGCAGTCACAAACACATATTGATAGAATGCTCAAAACTCATAAGTGGCGGTGATCTCCGGTCTTCTCATTCCGATATCCCAATAAAATTCATGTGGAACGAGGGGGAAAAAAGATACATAGAGTATATCCTTATGGTAAAGAGAACATTTATTCCAAAACTTACAATCAGGTAAAAAATAGTCAAATCACCAACTCCATTGAAGAATCCACCAGGGAAATAATCAGGGTACTGGAATTGATATAAATATAAAAACAATAAATCAATATACAGTCCTAGGCGTTTCGTCCAGTCATATGGACTTTGTCAGGGACAATGCAAAACAATCGGTTATATAATCAGTTTACTTACTGATGATCACTGATATTTAAACGACAATTTCTTATGTTGTGACGTTCATTGATCACACTGTATATTTACTTTTTGGTCCACCTGGTATATTTAAAATATTAATGTAATCACCAAACTTGGATGATTTCACAATATATTTTTTAGGTTGTCATCATGTCCAAGAAGGTCGTTGTGCTAATGGATCCAATGGCAAATGAAAACCGCTATGTTTCAAAAGTGCAACACAACTTGCAGTAAGGGTGCCTCTGAAAACCGTTTTAAGTTCAAATAAGCTTCAATAAACAAGTGATTCCTATTTTTTTTTTTTTTTTAAATCTGTTACTTTTGCCATAGTATCTTCTTGCGGATGTACAAGCCGGATGAACAGCCAGATCAATGGAAAACATGGATAATGTACCACAACAACCAGCAGGATTCTACTAGCTGTGGAGTTTTAATATTGATGGTAAAAAAATTTCTAACATAGTAAAAGACACTCAACAAATGCGATCTGCAGTTACAAATGTGAATTATTATTTTACAGTTTGCCAAGGAGTTCCTACGGACACGTACAATCAGTGAAGTGAAGACCTCTCCAGAATATATAAGGGATGCACGACTGGAAATAGCTTGTGCCTTACTCCAGTATAAAGGTCAGCTCCATCACACAATGTATGAAAGATTTGTCTTGGAAAAATGTGTTCAGACTCCAAATTCACACAGATTAAATCATTGTGCGGGAAACGTGTTTTATTATTAATTCACTCAGAAAATACATATTTGCTTACATTTTAACGTACTGCACCATAATATAACGTAAATATTTTTTTATTCAATTATTTTTGTAGATGCTGTATGAGTCCCTTCAGGATGTAACCCCATATTCACTAGATCTAAACGCATGCAATAAGGTTAGTATACTGTATACTTTTGTACTTGCTACTGACTCTTGTGGCTACAGTTATTCACTCTAACAAATTTTTTTTTCCTTGTTTGACAACTCTGAGCGTTGGGATACCAGGAAGATGAAGGGGTCCATGTTTGCTACTGATGAAGAAGGTAGAGTACTGAACCTAAAGTTGCTAATTTTCTTGATTTCATAGACTTCATTTTTAATCTCCTCCTTTGCCTTTTTAATATGTATTCCCTCTTACTTTTACGATACTTTTTCTGTACTTGCCTCTCTCTCTCGTGCTTACAGTTAATCACTCTAACCATATTTTTTTTTTTCCTTTTTTTTTTTTGGGACAACTCTGAGCACCGTCTCCTGTTGGATACGAGGAAGATGTTTGCTACTGATGAAGAAGGTAGAGTACTGAACCTAAAGTTGCTAATTTTCTTGATTTCATAGACTTCATTTTTAATCTCCTCCTTTGCCTTTTTAATATGTATTCCCTCTTACTTTTACGATACTTTTTCTGTACTTGCCTCTCTCTCTCGTGCTTACAGTTAATCACTCTAACCATATTTTTTTTTTTCCTTTTTTTTTTTTGGGACAACTCTGAGCACCGTCTCCTGTTGGATACGAGGAAGATGTTTGCTACTGATGAAGAAGGTAGAGTACTGAACCTAAAGTTGCTAATTTTCTTGATTTCATAGACTTCATTTTTAATCTCCTCCTTTGCCTTTTTAATATGTATTCCCTCTTACTTTTACGATACTTTTTCTGTACTTGCCTCTCTCTCTCGTGCTTACAGTTAATCACTCTAACCATATTTTTTTTTTTCCTTTTTTTTTTTTGGGACAACTCTGAGCACCGTCTCCTGTTGGATACGAGGAAGATGTTTGCTACTGATGAAGAAGGTAGAGTACTGAACCTAAAGTTGCTAATTTTCTTGATTTCATAGACTTCATTTTTAATCTCCTCCTTTGCCTTTTTAATATGTATTCCCTCTTACTTTTACAATACTTTTCCTGTACTTGCCTCTCTCTCTCTCATGCTTACAGTTAATCCCTCTAACCATAATTTTCTTTTCCTTTTTTTTTTTTTGGACAACTCTGAGCACCATCTTGAGGGAGATGAAGGGTACCATGTTTGGTTCCAGTGCCAGAGAGGCCACCATGATGAACCTCAACCTGCTGAAACAGAAAACTTCCTCTGCACTTGGCTGCTTCATAACACATGCTGCAGATATGATGTAACCTTAATTTTCCTGTGATTAACAATGGTGGGTCACCACCAGAGAGATCATGACATTATACCGATATTGCTTTCCTCATGTGATACAGCTTTTTAATTTTTTTACAGGTGCTTAAACTTTCTACATGTTTTGTGGTTAACACAGTCTGTCTTTGCAAGGCAGGTTTTTCTGTTACCCTTTTTCCTTTTTTTTTTTTTTTAATATAGATGTAAACTGTAAACTCCACATTAACGTATAAGAAATAAAGTATATTGGAGAAACCTTGACATGTAGATTGTGTTTCATCAGTGCAATTCTATAGCGTGGGTGATGAAATGGGCATATGAGATGATGGGTTTCAGAGTCAAAAAGAAACAAACCTCAGTTTCTCTTGTTGAACACAGATTTGAGTTCCTTTTTGTCACTCTTGTTTTTTTTTTTTTTTTTTTGGTGGATACTATATACATTTATAACAGGGTAAAGACTCTTTGCTTTAATGGACCTTGTGAAAGCTGCATACAAAGGACATTTTTAAGTCAAGTAAAAACAAGCAAAGTAATCCACGAATATCCCCATACAGATCCCAATGACTGGACGACTCACAGCATCAGGAGCAGAACTGACTTTTAATCCACACAACCTCCTTATAAAGCATTCTCCCATGCAAGGGAGGGATTCACATTAATCCAATAATGTAACAGTTACCTCCCACACATCTCCTCCCCTCAGTGTGACACTTAATCCCATTACACATGCTGTAGTTTTCCCAGAGTTCTGGATGTACCTTAAAACAAGCAGTGCTAATAATAATTTGGGTAGCCCTGATCTGGGTGACTAACATATCCTAAATTCACCCATATCGGACCAGGGGTTCGGGAGTTAGGTGGAGGGTGTAATTTGACCAACCGCACACGAGGTGGTATCCTAAAAGGGTTTCATGTGTTTTGGCCCTGCGGTCGGTCTCCGTTCGGGAGGTAAAACACACATAAAAAAACTGCCATCCACGATTAACATTACATTCGTATGAATCCCCTTGTTCGGTACTTTAAACTTAACAAACAGGAGGCTGATTATCCTTCCTGTTCAGGAGTTATGGAGCCCTGGAGGTCTCAGCGGTGTTCGGGTAATTGAGTGTCCAATTTGTGTTCCAGACACTTGACGACCAGACACTGCCGAGATTTTCGTGCGTAAGATGGCCACCGCCACGTGTTCGTATTCTGAACGGCGGCCACCCAGATACATGCACAAAGTACCAATTAACCTGCGGTTAGAGAGGTGTGAAGCCTAGTAAGGTACACACTTCTCTCTGGGGTGGTCTATTGGTTCTGTAGTTTCCATTCGGATGGAAACTACCGAACAATCATACGAATCCTACATACAGTTTAACTATATAAACAACACACAAATTGCAGTTTTACCACAGTCACAGTGTAAGCAGTGTTTGGATGATACAGGCGTTTAATTCTCCATGGTTACAGTATTTATGGTTACCTCCTAAGTATTACCGTCACTCACATAGGTTGAATTGGCACATGGATAAACATGTGAGCAGTAACGCCACGTCAAGGCTTCAACCCTTGTTACTGACCATTCACACACCATACTTTTCATTCATATGCATTCGATATTCCAGATGTTTTGGACTACACCTTCCATAATGATTTTCCAGCATTATGGGAGATCTAATTCACAGCATCTGGACTGACTAAGGTTACCTACCTCTGAACTAGGGCGTGATCACAGTACCCAATGTTGAAGTCGCTGTGCAAACAGGAGCAGCTTGTCACGTGCCAGATGACATTACTTATAAATTCAATACTCCACCCTGGAGACGAGCATCAAACATGGGCTTCTTCATTCCACTTCATGTAGTTTGTGTCCCATAGGAGAATGCTTGTAAGAGCTGTGACACACAAAAAAACAACTGGTTAGAGTAACTGGCATAACAAACACAGTGCATGCAGACTTGCGTGCCACATACATACAGCAGACAGACACAAAGATTGTGGGAGACACACCGGAATAAATATAAGAATTGGGAGTACCATGCATACACAATGCACAAAGAGACGGAGATTACTGAATTCGTTGACCGACGGATTTGGTTGCAGATGTGGGGCTGTCCCTCTCGCTGGGGTGCAGTTTCTCATCCTTCTCTGGCGAGTGACTAGATGGCTGCGGTTTCATAGCAAAAAGCATGCCATGGCATATGATATCTAGGAAATAAATATTTTTCTATGAAACTAGGGTTGTACACATCTAACACACGGGCCACACGTACTGTACAGCTCACCATCTAACGCCCCCAAATATAATACACTGCCCCCCCACATGTAAGAAACAGCCCCTCCATCTAACACACAGGCCACCCCAATATACTTCACAGACCCCACAATATACTGCGCAGACCCCCCCTATACAGCGCAGACCCCCCACAATATACTGCGCAGACCCCCCATATACAGACCCCCATACAGCGAGACCCCACACACAGTAGGACCCCCATATACAGCAAAGTAGACCCCATATACAGCTGCTATAGACTCTTATACCTCCTGTGCAGACACCCCTATACTTGCAGACCCCCATATACTGTGTAGACACTCTATATACTGTGCAGGTGACACCCCCCTATATACTGTGCAGACCCCCTATATACTCTGCAGACCCCCATATATACTGTGCACCCCTATATACTGTGCAGACACCCCCTATACAGGCCCAGACCCCCATACAGCCCAGACCACATACCAAGCAGCACTCCACATACAGCAGACCCCCTATACAGCAGGACCCCTATACAGCCAGACCCCCCACAATATGCCAGCCAGACCCCCATACAGCGCAGACCCCCACAATATGTTTTAGACACCCCCTATATACCGTGCAGACCTATATACTCTGCAGACCCCCATATATACTGTGCACCCCCCATATACCGTGCAACTCTATATACTGTGCACCATATATACCTCGTGCACCCCCTATATATAATACTGTGCACCCCCCATGTTACACTGTGCACCCCCCCATATACTGTGCACCCCCCTATATACTGTGCACCCCCCATATATACTGTGCACCCCCATATATACTGTGCACCCCCTATATACTGTGCAGACCCCTATATATACCGTG